ATGGCTTGGATGATTACTTACGTTGCAGTGTCACCGCCATATAAGGTTTTATAATCATTTGATTTGACATCACATATAGCTATGTAAATGTTGCATATTACAATGGCAACTCTTAGATTTTGAAAAAATTGATCTCTGCAATATCAACTCAGCAATTTATCTTTTTAACCTATTCACCTTCCGAGGTGTTCTGTGAGAAGAGATAATTTTTTCTCAAAACTTCAATTTTCAACTGTCAAATTTCAATGAATTCAATGGCATTCTCTCATAATCAGCAGTTTCAAATCACTGTGAACAGTAGAAATGAAATGCAAATCATTTTAGGATATGGTGATTGTTGTGGAACTGATGTTATGCGCATCAGTCCTACTGATATTCTTATTTGGGCCAAAAATTTACATTTTACTATCCTATGAACCAGTTATAGTCGAATATAACGCTCAGGCTGGAAAGTGCAAGGACGGCGTTTATGAGAACGGTCTTTTTGAGAAAGGTCAGTGCAGCGCATGAATCGAAACTCGTATGAGTATATTTATATTGGTAGATTTATAAAGAACGAAATGACAGTCATTGTGTAACGATTTGGATGCGTTTCAAATCGTTTATCCACTGAATACCCTCAAATTTGGGTAATCAAACGGATGAACGAATGGAACCGCATCCAAGTCGTTAGATGGTGCCTGAGGTGAGGTAATTGGTCAGGTAATAAACGATTTGATACTTTACGGCCAAGTCGTCACACAATTGCTTCTTGACGACTTACTGTGCGCAATTAGCATTAAGTGCTGACAGTATTTTCGATGGAAAATTTTCAGATGACGAGATGAAGCGATCAGTATCGCCAACAGACAGTTATGCAACAATGACTCAGACATCGCTTTGTAATATTCATAAGGCCAGTGCTGCAACACCACATTCAATAGCCTCAACAAGCGGAGCTTGTAGTGATGAGCAGGTGCGATTGAAACTGTCACTTTTTGACGGATATTTTCCGCTTTTGTTCTTAATAACACCAAGTTCTGATCAGTGAACATCATCCTCATCAAATCGTTAACAAACATCATTGAGAAAATGATTATTCAGAAAGTCGTTGAATGTGATTCGAATTCTTGTTGTTTTTTTTAAATCAACGGTGAGCAAAACACCTCAGCCTTATGATGCAAAAGATTGAAAGTGATAATTCAAAAAAGAAATATCAGAATATTCAATGATTTATTTAAGATTCATTTTCATTCCTTCTTTAAAGAGACATTCCTCTAAAATTTTAGAAAATAATTAATCGTAAGAAAGGAGATGATGGGCATTCGAAGACGTGAATAAATTATTCATGAGTAAATAAAATTTCAGGGACCAATATTTCACACAGTGATCCGGAAAAAGAATCGTCTGCGACGTGTCCGATCGGATACGAAAGAGCCGAAG